CCTCCCCTCCCCTCTCCTTTCCTTCCTTTTTGAGGCAGTGTCTCACAATGCATTCACTGGCCTTGAGCTCATTTTTGTAGCCCAGGCTGATCTCAGACTCCACGATCAAGGAGCTGGGGAGATAGTTCAGTGGAATAAGTGCTTACCTGGCAAGCACAAGGTCCTGAGTTAATCCCTGGTACCACCAAAAACAAACACATCAAACTCGATGATCCTCCTGCCTCAGCCTCCTGAGTGTTGGGATTGCAGGTGTACTCCACCACACCCGGCTTTTTCTAATGGGAAGATTGTTTTCTCCCTATCATGTTCTGGAATATTATCCCAAAGCGTGTTTTGTTTCTCAACGAATATAGATGTTTTGTCTCCTCCTGCTTCCCTGGGGAACTTGTTTCTGTGCTGGACCTCCTAGGCCACCCCCATCATCTCTCAGTGCTTCTGAAGAAATGCAGTTCACGAGCGGAGCTATGAGTTCAACTGTGGGCCCCAGGTGGAGTTCGGGCACCTGGTTTCTAGGGCCCTGGTCAGCTAGGAGTTTCTTCAAGTTCTTCCCCATCTGGGTTTTGGTTTCCTCATCTCCACCCAGAGGATTGTACCAAGCAGACTCTAAACTGTGGTGACCGTGATTATATTCTGAGCTGGCGCCTTTTCTGAATAATTTGAGAGTGATCTTCTTTCATTACAGGAAAATATGAAGTTCGATACCTACAGGGCCATGTTTTTGTTTTGTTTCATGGGTATTTTTTAACTTTCATTTTCATTTTGTTTTACATAAATAATAAGTGCATGCAGAGCCCCGCGTGGTGGCGTATGCCAGTAATCCCAGCTGCCCCACACATAACCAGTTATCAGGTCCGAAAAGACCTCTCACCAGATCTCAACCTTTGTTAGTATCCACAGAGAGGAATAACCTGAATAGGTGATGTCTTCATTGACACAAGAATCATCAGACTAAAACTGGAGCATCAGCTAGGAAGCTGAGGCAAGAGGGGCCTAGTTGAAGCCTACCCTGGGTAATTTAGTGAGACCTCAAAATAAAAATGTAAGGAAAGGGCTGGGGATGTAGCACAGTGCCAAGACCCTGGGTTCAATCCCTAGTACTGGGGTGGGGTGTATGTAGGGAAACCATAAATAACACAGAACAGGAAGATCATTGCTGGTACTTCCCCCTGTAAAGGCCCCATGCTTCACTGTTTTCGTGTGGATCCTTCTAGAGACAGTTGGTGAATGTCTAAAGTGTTTCTTCTTTTTTAATCACACCCAGTAGCATGCTGCAGTTCTGTTCCTTAGTTTTTTGCTCTTAAATCAGGGTTCTGTAGCAATACCAAGAGAGCACCCTTATTCTTCGAAATTATTTTGTGAAATGTCTCTGAGTGCAGTCCTTGTAATCTCCCATTGATGGGCGAGATTATTTTTAGTCCTTTGCTATTATTAAATAACACTGTGGTGAATAGCCTGCTCTCCTGTGGTGAATATGCTCTGTGGAGGTGTGCTTTCCTTTGAAAACAAAACCGTTGTTGAATTCCACCCTGCCAGACTCTACAGTTAACAACCAGTGATGTTTAGTCTGACTGGTCAAACCTTAATAAAGTTGAAGACACCAGCGGCTCCACTGTAACTTCTTGTGAATATCTCTTGTAGGGCTGATTTTCTGAAGACCAGCAAGAGTATGGTTTGGGAAGAACTGTCCCCAGGGTTTTTTTGTTTGTTTGTTTGTTTGTTTGCTTTGTTTGGTTTTGGTTTTTTAAGACAGGGTCAGTTCAGACTGCCTGGCCTTGAACTCGCTATGTAGCACAGGTTGGCCTCAAACTGAAACAGTCCTCTTGCCTCAGTCTCTTAAGGACTGGCATCACAGGCAGGTGCCACACTCATATGTCCTTCCTCAAGAAGTCCTGGTGAAACTTTCCCACAAGTTGTGATACCCTTTGTGGAATTTGGTCACTTTTTGCACTGTGTTCTATATAAAGTTTAAAGTAGACTGCCCTAGGGCAGTGGAGTGGTAGCTCAGTGGTCGAGCACCTTGGAGCTTGTACAAGGCCCTGGGCTTGATCCCCAGTGCAACGTCAGCAGAAAGTTGTCACAAGATTTCTAACAGAGCACAAAAGCCAAGACCAGATGAGTCAGGAGGGGGACTGGTATCTATGATTTCATGATTCCAATGAAGGTAACAGTTATTTGAATAGTAATAATTAACAGAAATGTTAACAGAAATGTTACTGTGGAAGGAATCTGAGGAATCTATACCCCAAAGCATAAAACATTCTGATGGTATCTTTTTTTTTTTTTTTTTGTATTGAAAATCAAACACAAGCCCTCACACTTGCCTGGCAGGTGCTGTGCACTGAGCTACATCCCTGACCCTGAGGCTGTCTTTCTGAAGAGTCAATGTAGACCCTGGCCATTCATCTGGGTGTTCTTGTCTTCTGCAGTGATCAATCACCAGCACCAGCAGCAGATGGCACCCGGCACCCTGAACCACCCTGTTCAGAACCCACCAGCGGGGCTCATGAGTCTGCCCAGTGCACTTACCACTCAGCAGCAGCAGCAGCAGAAACTGCGGCTCCAGAGGATCCAGATGGAGAGAGAGAGGATCCGAATGCGCCAAGAGGAGCTCATGCGGCAGGTATGGCCTTCGTTGGCATTGGAGGCTCTGCAGCCTTGGCAGCTGCGCACCTCCAGGACAAACCTTCCTCTAGAAGCATGGGGCCCAGAGGCCCAAAGCCCTGCTCCAAGCCTTGTGGGTGGCTTCTGTTTTCTTCTCCCTGCATTCTGCCCATGCTTCTTTCAGGACAAAGTCCTGAAGAGTTCAAGGGCTCTGGGAGATTCGCATGGCTGCCTGTGGCTTTTGCTGCTAGTGTTCAGAGAGCGAGAAAAGAGGAAGCAGGAGGAAAGTACAAGTCCCAGTTATGTACTGCTGTGTAGTGAGTTACCCCAAAACTCAGTGGCTGGAAGCAGCCATTGTAATGTCATGTGGATTTGTGGCTCAAGAATTTGCAAAGAGTCCAGTTGGGTTATTCTGCTCTCTATGACACCGAAGGAGGTCACTTAGTGGTAGTGAATGGGTGGTTGGACCTGTGGGGAGGGTCCAAGATGGTGTCCACTAAGCATGTGGCACCATAGTGAGAATTGTGGGAAGACTGGGCTTAGCTAAGATGCAGGCCTGGACATCTAGTGTAGCAGTCACAGAGGCATGGGACTTACTACATAGCAGCTTGGCTCTGCGAGATAGAATACTGCAAGAGACACAAAGCTACCAATCTCTTAGGTGCAGTCTGAACACCATCACTTTTGCCATGTTTTCTTGGTGAGGGCAGTCAGATTATAGTGGAGAGCGGAAGGGATGCCTCACGGAAGCAATGGGGAACAGTCCACAGCCCCTCTTTGGTCCATCACAGAGTATGAAAAAGAAGAGAAAATTGAGAGGAGACCTGGGCAGAAAAGTGTGTATATGCAGACTTTATTCAAGTGCCCTGTGAAACTGTCCCGCAGTCACTTGTACACTCGGTCACCAGCACGTTGCTGTGTGCCCCGTGGTCAGCACAGCGCTGCATTGGGAAGTGAGGCACAGCCCAGGGTTTTCTCCCTGCTTTCCTGCCTTGGCCTGCAGAGGAGCAGAATTCGTTCCTCTCTGTTGCTAATCTAATAGAGCCCATGAATCTACAGGTCTCGTTTGCTGGCTCTGTTTTGAGGAGAGAAGCTTTGGTTTATTTTCTAACTCTTCAGACTTAGGATTCTTGTGAAGCAAGATGATTGAGCAGCTTCTGCGACTCGAAAGAAATAAGTACGAAATCCTTTCTGGGTGGGGGATTCAGGGTATATGAGGATACACAGGCTTTTCCCCCAATTATATGGGATGCCTTAAAAATATACAAAGACTTCCCTATATGAGTAATATATTTATCATTACATCAATCCTAAGATATAAGTTGCAGTGTGAGGTTTAAAGTACTGTACATGGAAAATTACAATCATTTCTTAAACATACCCTTTGAAAATAAGAGAAATGAGTATAAACTGTGCCTTTTTGCTTAGCTGAGCTTTCTCCCAAAATTCCTCCAAACTGAGGAGACAGCTTTGCAAGGTAACTACAGTTGTGCCTTCTACCCTGAGGGTTTGCACTTGAACTTGTGCGGTTATTTCAGGCTAACAGTTGTTTACACTGTGGTAGAAACATGGGATCATGCTACGTGGCAGGAAGTAGTTATGTTATTGTTTTGTGGCTTGGCATAATAATTCTATTTGTAATAAAGTTTCTATTCTGTAATATAAGCTGAGCTATACAGAATTATAGTACTATTTATAAGTCTTCAAATTCTTAGTTTTATATTTAAGCTTTAATGAAGTGAGTATATGTGTATATGTGTGCGTGCGTGCTTGTAGTTAGGAGGAGGTGGTGTAGGTGGTTCTAATGTCTTTTTAGTTTTGTTATTAGAGTACAGGATGAAAGATCTAAATAGACTTTTTAATCCTGGAAGATTTTTTTTCCCCCCTAGAATCAGCTTGCTCCCCAGTGCCCAAGATTTCCTTTAAGGCTGTATAGTAGATGAGGAATTGTTCATGAAAATTTTGGGGGGTGTTTGTAAGGGTACCTGCTGATTGTGTCTTAGGTGTGGATAACAGTATCATCTTAATTTTTTTATTTTATTTTTATTTATTTTTGTTGCAGAACCAGGTATAGTATCATCTTTTTTTTTTTTTTTTGCGGAGCCAGGGATTGAACTCAGACCCTTGCACTTGCCAGGGAAGTGCTTATTTTACTGAGCCATCCCACTGGCCCAACAGTATCATCTGGAGGGGATTTCTGACTTCTTTCTTTTGGTGATTTTCTTCTTCTTCTTCTTCTTCTTCTTCTTCTTCTTCTTCTTCTTCTTCTTCTTCTTCTTCTTCTTCTTCTTCCTCTTCTTCCTCTTCTTCCTCTTCTTCCTCTTCTTCCTCTTCTTCCTCCTCTTCCTCCTCTTCCTCCTCTTCCTCCTCTTCCTCCTCTTCTTCTTCTTCCTCTTCCTCTTCCTCTTCTTCTTCTTCTTCTTCTTCTTCTTCCTCTTCTTCTTCTTCCTCTTC